TGGATGATGATATCTTGATCTGTCCAATTTTTATTGGCTACTTTAGGCTAGTCGCGGGGAACATCCGCTTCGCTCTGGTTGCTGAGCATTTCCTCAACAGCAATTTTGGCTCACACTATAGGAAAGTTGGAGTTACTGCATCAGAGGCATCTGCCATGTAGCCCTCAATTACCGGTGTGCAGGTTTAGCACCATTTTGAAGGAGCATCTAATCTCAAGTCCATTGCAGCAACTGATAGATCAGAGGCACAGAAGGAGGAGCTGTGATGGAAAGGAGAGCTATCGTGATGTACCAAAACCACTCCACTCCTAACCCATCCATCCCCCCAAAATATACTCCTCGGATCTCCATTCTGTCAATCAGATTACTTTTGGACTAGGAATTAAGCCAAAAGACTGCAACACATCCCCTGAAGCAGCCCTCGTTCAGGTAAGCAGGGATCAGCACAAGACAAACTATCAGGAAGAAAACAGTAATGAAGGAACCTTCATTCTTCTAATGAAGGAAATGATACCTCCACCAAAACTTGCAGGGGAAGTTACTGCATATAAAGAGGCAGCAAATCCCTCACTCACTCACTCACACTGATGATGTTACCTACCAGTTGGTTAATACAGATTGATACAGATTAAGAGAGTTGGAAGGGACCTTATAGGTCATCTAGTCCAACCTCCTGCCCAAGCAGGAGATCCTACACCATTTCTGATAAATGGCAGTGCAATCTCTTCTTGAAAGCCTCCAGTGGTGAAGCTCCCACAACTTCAGAAGGAAACATGAAATACTGCAAGAAAAACATCATACTCAGCACCAAGGTCCCATAGTTTAACCCTGAGCTGCAGATAGTTTCTTCTACTGGAGCACCTCCACTGCTTAAGAATTGGTCTGTATATTTTATACAAGCACAAGCCCTGTTCTAGATACAGCAATAGTGTCATGCCCTGACAGCAGAGCTGGTCTCCCATCCAGCTGAGTAGGCAGCGGTTTCAGGCAGCCTCTTTTGGGTGTCACAAAAAATGGTGGTTTTAATCCCAGGAAAATGGAGTGCATTTGCATGCATGTTGTCTCCAAATAACCTGAATCCTCTTAGGAATTATGATATGGAAAGGAAAACCTTTTGCTGTTCCGGCTGAGACAGCACCCTCCCCACCCCTTCTCCGGGGCATCAGTGCTGCATACAAAAGCAGAGGGCAGGTTGTTGCAAGGAGAGAAAATAATTTCTCTTACGTATATGTGAAGGAAGACGTGGACTGAATTGGAGCAAGAATCTGGAACCAAGGTGAATAAAATGATCAAATGGTGAGGCTCTGCTGCAAAGGTGTCTGTGTGTGTGTGTGTGTTTCATCTGTTCAATCCTGTCCAGTTCAAGTCTGCAAAGTTTCGTTGGCAAGGCTTTTTCAAAGTGATTTGCCATTGCTTCCTTTCTAGGGCTGAGAGAAAGT